CGTTATATATATTAAAGTTACCATTAAAGCCTGTGCCGAATTCAAATACAAAATCAGATTTATTTTCTTCCGTCAAGTTTGGCGCGAAATCTTGCCCAACTTGCAAGTGCAATAAAGGGCCCCTAAAATTGGTGCGGGGTGTCGCAGGGCCATTTACTTCTTTATTTCGAGGGAGCGGCAAGGTTGTTGGTCGTCGCCGTCATCGTCATGGCCGTGCGCCATAAAAGCGGTCCAAAGGAAAAAAGTCAGCAATGAAGACGAAGACAAAAGCAATATTGAAGGATTCATATGGCAGAGGTTATTTATTAACGTGATTTGTTTGATTGCTAATCAGACAAAAGCAAGTTAACTAATCATCTTATTGGTTTTTGCGTCCCCATTCGGATGAGAATGGCCTCGTGCGTCTGAGCTTTTCTTTTAGGAATGAACACTGTGCCTTGAAAATCTTTATTAATTGAATACTTTCCAGTTGCGATTCTTGACGAAAAAAAGCAATGAACATATTGAATCAGAGTGTGATCCGCAACAAAGTCATTTTGACATAAATCTATAAATCTTAAACATTCAAGGCGTTTCTTCGAAGAGTTTTGACGTGATCAGACAAGAGATTTGACCACTAGCAACGGTGTCGCCAACATCCAAACCTCTTCAAATTTGCATATTCCAAAATTTGGCTCCTTCGTTAATGATTGACGAAAGGAAAACTCCCATCGATTTTTTTTTTTTTCTATAATCTAAATGCACGTAGTCACATCACACTGACTGCCAAAAAAAAAAAGAGGATAGATAAAAACGCCTCTCTTTGCGTTTCGTTCAAATCTCTGTGCAACAAAAAGAAACATATTTCTAAATAGAAGCCAGTACGGTACTTCATTTCGAATAACGTTTTAACTTTCGCTAGGAGTGGAAATCCACGTGAAGTGACACGTGGGAAGACCGTTGTTTCTTCTATTCACACAAACGCTGGGGAGCTGAATTTGAATTTCGTTATTAAGTAAACGTCATTGACACGTAATTATATCAAAATTTCAAACAGATTTCATATTCCATATTATTGGTTTCTGGACAGAAGATTTGCTAATTTACGTTTCTAAAGATATTCAGTTGGTTCTAAAAATTAACCTCTTTTTTATGAAGCATTTGGAGAATAGACTGCGATCTCTGCTACCTCGCTTTGTTAATGCTTTCGGAATTTCAGAGCTCTTTTTGCACGCGTGTTATAAAAAAAGCCTGAATGCTACCACAAGCAGGAAGTAGAAAGTAAACTCTGAAAAACTTATTTGATTGGGGCACTATTCAGTATCCTTTCATCATACGAGTTTGCTAAAGAAAGCTCGCTAAAAGTGATCTTATAGAGGATATGTAGGAGTGTCCCCAATTTATAGTTAAAACGTCTATTAAAACGGTGTATTTCTCAAAAGTATGCCCCTATATATACATGCCAGTTAGCGGTCGTTTATTTATTTATAAGCTCCACACGTTAACTTATAACAGGTGAGCAGACAGATCGATATACCGATGACGGCTGGTACCAAACGCCTTTTGACAAGGTTGTTTGCTATATTTCTTTTATCAAACGAATTATGTCAAAGTACTGCTTTGCACATTTCGAAAAGACTACCAATCTACAAATATATATATATGTATATATATATATATATAGTTTATTGAATACTCTATTTATAATTGAAAATCGTTTTTTTTATATTGAACTACCCTGTGCATTTTGCTGGTGTTATCTTCCATTTCTCTTCCGTTCTTTCTTTACCGGCCATGTGGACGGTTCAATATGATATGGGGCACGACGGACCTATTTTCATAAGCGGCCACATGGTTGGTTCCTTAGCCAATAATACCTTGACCAAGTGTCAATGCTGTTTAAAGTTACGCGACCATTTTGTCGTGCGAGTGACTGAAAGCGACATTAGTTACCCAAAACTAAGTTACTTCCGGGGTAATATCTAGGGGCCTTGGTGCTGGACGTAAAATAAGGACATTTTTCTTTTTATGTTATATAAATAGTAACAGCGAAGGCGAAAAACACAATTTAGCCATTTTTGTCACGTACATACGATACGTACCAAACGAAGCGTATGCTGAGCTAAAAACAACCCTTCAAATTGATAGGGAATACAAACGTTTCACATTGCTACAGTAATATAGAAAACATTTCCCTGTTAATTTCATCACCTTGGTACAATGGTCAAGTAATCTCATATTATGTCACATTACGATATCCTTCAGCTGCAAATTCACATATAATTTGTTAACCAATCGAGTCTAAAGTTACTCTAAGAAATTGGCTCTCTTTTTAAGTTCAAGATGGCTCCGTACCCCAAGTACAGACGTGCGTGCAGGTTTTTTTTTTTTTGTATATGTGAAGACTGTTTCCTGTGTTGTACAATGCAGTTGCGAGAGAAATATCTTTCGAACTCTTGTGAGTAGGGATAGTACTCAGGATTACGATTACTGCTGTAACTTGATTTGGCATTTATGAAATGTTCGTGATCGTTTACCGGTCTCGACCAGTTACTTGACATAGTGCTGTACGTTGTCAATCAAACTCTATTTCTAGGATATAGTAAAACTTGAACACCATCAGCAGAAAAGACCACAAAGACACGCTTTGCTATATGACATAACATCAATTTCTATTCCGACACCATTTTCGTGCCTAAAACACCTTTTTCGTCTAAATTTCTTCATTGTATTGTCGTTTTGCCAAAACCATGTCGATGAAATGCGGAGCGTTGGCTCCGTGGATGGGAATTACGGTCCACAGTATTATTTTGCTATGATATTCGGTTTGCTAGATTATACGGGACCCCTGAGATCTTTCGTCGGGACGCCTGCAGACGCACTAAGCGGTATTGCCCAACATCTTGAAATGTGATTTATTCTTCACGCATTTTTATATTGTACAGCTGTATAATTGTTTAGCCAATTTCTTGTATACAGCTGCCAAAGCTTTACGTCTAGCTGAAAATGACTGGTTTTTAATACTCTGTCGGTGAGTTGTTATGGGCAGAGTGATTTCGCACTTTACCATTTTTTGACGCATTTGGGGAAACGTTTTTTTATATATATTTTTTTTATATGGGCGTAGTTGGAATAATCAGCTGCTGTTATTGCATTGTGCACCGCTTTCGATCTTTGTTTTTAGATGTTTTGGGCATCTCAGCCCTGATAACCTGGGCTACGACGCACTTCGATATTCTGATTTAGCAAGCAACTTCTATATGCAGTTCTGATACCTTGAGATCCCTTCTTAGTTCCAGTGCGAATCTATGTTTCATCACAAAAGTACGAAAATTATTGAAGTTCACTTCAAATCAACTTGTGGTTGCCCTCGAATAGATATAACTAACGATAACTACCATGCTACATCTTGAATCGTCTATGTCTCTTCATGAACGGAAGAGGATTAAATCAGATATTTGCATTGTGTGTAATAACTTGCCATATTCATACATATTAAAGCGAACAGCCATTGCACCACACATTTCAATAATTGCACTTTCTTTATAGTAGTTAAAATGATGAAAATCACATTTGTTCCATTAAGTAATCATCAGCGATCTGCAGTGCTGGTTCAAAAAAAAAGTGTTAATCAAACACCCTATCCTTGTTGGATAAGGATTGGCAGTGACCGGTCTTTAGGTTCCGGATTCGCCTACGTCTACATTGTCTCTATATTTAAAAGTATTCGAACGTGTAATCTTTACTTTGAGAGGAGGTAATTGCAGTTGTATTTGATTTTACCGGAAAATCAAAATAGAGAAGTAAATTAATATAAGTATACTGTTCTCTGTCCCAACGAAATCAAGTTCTCTAAATAATGTCAGTGCTTTTTGCATCTTGGCTATCAATCAATGCCAACTAACTGCATGTGGTACCAACAGATTCAGCGTATACAAGAAAGCCTTAGAAAGACGACCCTCGTTCTAGGCGATTTTGGATTAACACGTGGAGAAAGCAGAATAGCTCATGCTAGAATGTTGTTGAATCACTCTCTAACAGCTCGTAAAAAAATTAGACATCTCACGTAAATTACGTCGACCCATCGAAATCATTTGAAGGTGACAGGGTCCTCACCAATTATTATAGCGAAGTACCTGAATTTCAAATCAAACGAAGACTCGACAAGGACTGTCCCAAGCGAATCTTAGCGGAGTCAAACATTAGCCGGGTTTTGTCCGCCATTTAATTGCAGTTAACAAAACATAGGTCTGAGAGTAGAACGCCGGCTCCAGAATTGCTTCAAAGACGAGCTCAGACTGAACTCTTATGCAGTTGCAAGATCCAGATCAAGTCTGTTCTCACTATTTGGTCCAATTATAGGGAACTGATGCAATCAATTAACTGGTTCTGCGTTGACTCAAAAATCACCGAGAACTTTTAATCAGATTTCAATATTGCTGTCTGTCAAAGTTTGCCTGAACCCAGGAAAAATGGGCTGCCAAAATTCACCATAATGATAGCGTATCGATTAATAAGTCGCTATTAGCATCATGATTTTTGCACAAACCTAGATGCCGGCGCAGCCTCAACGCTTCTGTTAATCGTCACTAACACTTTGTAGTTTTTATCTTTCCGCAGTTGGACGACGCCAGAAAGGATTATGTTGCGAGACGAAACAGAAAAAAGCGAGGTTTATTATCGCACTAAAGATTCGAGCTTGTTTCATAAAAATAGTCGTACACGCGCATCGAATATGGCAAGGGTCTATTTCAAAGGAAGTTACCGGGGTTTAGATAAGTGAAGGTGTGAAACTAGTCCGAGCAAAACTTTCGATACTTTTCGAACGATGTACGTGCTGCCGTATGTCAAATATATAGCACGACCCAGAGGTCACGCAAGGTGCTTCACAGATTTTTTCGTGCTGTTATCATCCATCCTGTTTGTGGAACCTTTCTGGAGATATTCCGTCATTTAGTTTTTACTATTCTTATCGCTCCCATATCTAGCTGTGTGTTTTTTAAATAATTTCTTCAGCTTACCATACACTTCGTCGATGACATTCGTCTTCTATGGCCTTTTATTGCCCTTCTCCATTGTCCTGCTGCATTTCGATTGCTTTTTTTCCCTAGTATCTTTTGATAGCAGATACTGCTAGTACTGTCGATTAGTCATACATACTACAAAATCTATTATTTCGTATCTTTTTCCACTCAGCGATAGCTCCGATTTCCCTACTACCTTGTCCAGTTCCAGTTTTCCCCATAGTTCCAACTAAGTTCCATAATTCATTTTCCTCCTCAATCATTCGTCTTTCTCTTTAGCCAGTTCTTCTGTAGGCCCATGTGCCTATACACCTGCCCTCCACTTCATTCATTTACATACCACAGCTGTACTACAGCTGTCATATTCAGTTTTTTGCCAGCGTTTTTCTCTGCCTAACACAGTAAAGAATTAGAGTTCTCAGACACTCTCTCTCTTTCCCTTTGTGACTTCCTCTTTCCGTTTCATCCTCGTTACTCCAGTAAGCACGTCCACTCATCCGTTGCCAGGTAATTAACTACGTCCACAGCCGCTCCCAACTTGCTGATACTCCCTTGTCCACTTCCTTCCATTTTCAGATCGCTAGGTTTTTTACCCCCTCATTTTTACTTGTTTTGCTGTCACTCCGTTGATGAGCGTAATCTGGATCAGACGTGGGGTGCATCTTTGTTACCAGCATCAGCATATTGATCATGACAGTGATGGCTGCGGTCGTTAGTGTGTTTCCACCAGCCTGGCCTCCCCCAGGTTCTTTTTCCAATGTCCGGGATAAGTAATTCGCTTAGCTCTTAACTTTCGATCCGACCTATCGGCCCTTCAGGTCATTCAGCAAACTTCAGCCTATCTTGCAACGTCGCGAAGACCCAGCTATTGGCCAACGCCCAGTGCTTCGCTCTGGTTTCATGCTGTTGCTACTGTTGTTGCTGCTTTACTGTGCATTGCCCTATTGTCAGCCTTTGTAGACCATGGGGTCTTTACAATGCTCTACTATATTTAACATGCACACGCCTGCTGCCGCTCGCTTATCTCTGCTCTTACAGCTGTTCGATTCGTACTGCTTACTGCCAGCAGCACAATTACGAAAAGATGCCTTCACTGCGAGGAAGTACATGGTGCTATCACTTCTATCGGTAGTTCTACGAATAAAGGCTTGCTCCATAACATCTCATAGCATCGAGTGAGTGCTCTGAGCTACGAGCCAGCGAGGCCATAAGCCCTTTCCCAACGAGTGGTCAAAAGAACCTTTCCACTGCAGCAGACTTGCCGATTCCGCCACCACTGATGTCGTCGTCGTCGTCGTCGTCGTCGCTACTGCCACCCGTTATCACGGTCGCGGACTACGTCGGCGGACGTAGCGCTTGTCTTTTACCATACCGTCTCTTTGCAGCTGTGTGGTCTACCCATAGACTAATCGACAAGCTGCGAAGCTTGTCGCATTTCAGAGACGACACCGCGACGCTCGTCGGGTATCGCCTGCCGTTCATTTACTGTGTACGACGGCTAGCGGGCCTACGTTGCGCTCCGCATAGTAGCTTGGTTTTTGAATGAAAGCTCAGCTGTTTGTTACCGCAGCTGCACAGAAGCGCTGCCACGGTAGAAGTTCGTTACTGGAGGAATCTGGAGCCTAATCCAACCAACTGTTGATCTAATTGCCACTGTAAAGAACGAGATCCTTACGAGTAATCATAACGTAGTTGTCAAAACAGTACGAAAAACAAAAAGTCGCTGAAGAATGTACACAGCTTTCCGCACAGCGCGGAGTCGGTGCAATTTGCAACTATACATCAGCCCCCTCGGCAGCCACCTGTCTGCTGTAATCTAGAATATCACACAGTGAAGGCCTTGTCTGTGTGCCTTTCTTCTTAGCCACCGCTGCCTCTGTTACTAAATTGCAGGCGAGAGCAGGAAGTCTCCTGTAAGGGGAAGGTTTACTATATGAAGGCAACTCACTACTTCGAAGGCTGCAGCCCGCTGGCTTGTCATCACCGGGCAGCCGCGGCAAAGAAAGACACTGGCTGACCCGCTCACCGAACGGCAATTGGCGGTGTGACAATAACGGCTCGCTTTGGCAATGTAACAGACGTGCGTTAAACGTCAAGCGGCGGCGACGCCGACAACGCGTCGAGCGATATCTTCAGTCGTGGTTCGCTGTTTCGGCGAAGCTACAAGAGAAAGAGTTCTTCAATAATACCAGCGACGTCGTGCAGGAAATTTGAGTAGGAAGGCTGGAACAAGCGTATCTTTCAGCTTGTTTACGAATCTGTGGTGTGGAAGGAAACGTTATAGTACAGGAAGTACAAACCAGACAAAATGTCCCAGGATAGTCCTGTGATTGTTGTGGGAGCTGGAGTAAGTGGTAAGTACAGCGAAACGTGTACTGAGTAAAGGTTAGGTCATAAAAAATAAATTGGCCTGAAGCCATTGATTGATATACAGGTCATGACTTTTGTACGAAAACAATGACACAACGGCGAGCAGGTTCTTGTGATATACGGATAATGTATAAAATATTGATGATTAAATCAAACTTATGTGATATTTGGTCAATATTCGATGAGATGTACTATTAAGAAGGTTTTCACTGAGCTATTTTAGCCGGCAATTTCCAAAATGTAATAAATTCCACTACATCTGACATTTCCTATATTTATTTGTACAATTAAAATGTGTTTTATTCATCATCATCATCATCATGTTAAAATACATGTACCTGAGCTGAGCTAAATTGCCCTGACTGGCTGCTTGACAATAAATAGATAATTCCTTTCCAAACGGACTTGCCCAATTAAAAGAACTTATTTAATACAGGATTTGCTCTTATTTTTCTTCAAAATCCCTTAGCAGCTGGTAGACGTTACTTCTTGTTGCTTTCGTATAAAGCATCACAATATGAACTTCAGTTCATTGAGGTACGTGTTTGTCGAGAACCATCTTTTATCGAGAATAGCTGTAAGAGCCGCCCACATACGAAGCTCTATCGGAAGCATCAAACAATCTGGATCCCGCCTTTAACCTACTGCCAGGTCGTGGAAACCTGCAGAAATCAGCTCTGTTCCAAGGTACTAGGCTCCATGCGGGTGGGGTTTAGCAGTTGACGTAGCATAATTGGCAATTCGATTTCAAGTGTTCTCGAGAAAAGCCTCAGCCGAAACACGATGCTATTGGCCTGTAAGAAGGTACCGCGAATCGGTCTGACAGCAGAATCCCATAAACTCACCTTCCATTAAGGTTTCGAAATAAAAACGCCGCTGGATCCGAGTGTCTACTGCTGGATCCGACGGGCCATCAGAGACACTGTGAGGAAGATCTTTCAGATGGAAACGTTATTATTCACTGTTAATCATTAATAATCGTCAAAGCAATAATATAACTGCTATTCTAAATTGAATAAAGTGAGTTCAGGTTTAGAAGTATACGTATTCATTCAACAGAATGACTTATGTGACGCATCTAATAGACATGATCTATTTTATTCACTAGTTTCACCCATGAATTAAACCTTCTACTTGAAGCTATTTTCTACTATTGGCCTAGTTCATCCCCTGTACCTAGCCCCACGTAGATTAATTGCCCTCTTCACAACTGGGCTGAGCGATGCGACACAAAATAACACCATTACGGCCCCTTTCTAATGGACACGGTCTATCCTCTATCATCTATCCTATGGATATGGAGCCGTCTGCCGACTCAAAAGGTAAAGTTGAAAAGGCCTAAACTTCATTGATCAGTCGATTGGGCGTCAGACGTTAGATGCGGTAGGGACGCTGATACTCGTCTACCTCGATGGGGATACAGTTATCCTGGCGTAGTTGTGGCGTAGCCAGCGAGACAGATTTTTAGAAAGGATCGAATCTGTTTAGGTAATTGAACTACGCTAATTTTAGCATGACAGATTAAGAATAGAATAGAAAATAATTAACTATTACTAAAAAAATTACCAATATTTTATTCAAATTGCTTCGACGCCCGTCCAGTTGTATTTAGCATTGTTTCACATAAAAGACACACGTTGGCGTAAAGTAGAACTCAGTTTTCTTAGGAAAAACGCTAGAGATAAAGTACTGAGAGACGCCTGTCGCGGGTACACGCTCTTTAACAGACTCGGACCAGCGAAGCTTCGAAGTTAGCGTTCACGCATTCGGCACAAGAGGGAGGGAACAATCACTTCGAGCAAATAACAACACCAAGTACGTCGGCTTAAACAAACATCTATATCTAGTAGCACACGAAACCGAACGTATCGGTATCTTCTTGGGCGCTACCTTGAGGTGCTAGGTCGATTTGATCTTATTGAGCATATGCAGCCTACCTCATATTCGATTTTAATTCATCTAGTGGAAAATTCGAATGTCGCAAATAGCTTAGGATCATGGCGGCTTTTGAAATTTTACAAGGTTAGCAATTTCACAAGGGTTTCCTGACTAGCGCGTTTCTTTTAGAATCCCCTTCTACTTCATCTAGTCTACATGGACCAGTTATGTGGGCAAATGGTCTGCTGAGTTTTCCTATACCGTTTTCGATTACCTATGATTTCAGTCTGCAGTAAACGACACTGCTTTTTTCGCAAGGTCTTCAATTAATCGCAGCCTTCGTTTGCTGATTAGATGGAACGTTGGTTATATTCTTTTCCAGCTTCAAGGGGTCACGTAACTTTTCTAATTAGAAATTTGGGAAATGATTCATTTTTGATCGTTACATATATTGCTTTAAGACGAAAAATTGTTACAACGGCGTGTGTTCACCTAACGTTGCTGCTTCCAGAGCCATGCCTGGAGACGGCATATTGTTAAAAACTAATCAGGCTTAAGTTTATCTCCACAAATCGATAGGACTGGAAAATTCGACTTGGTCCTAGATTCACGTCATAGAATCATTTGGTTTTTTCAACAAGAAGTTCAATTAATCCGATTGCTGTTGTACCTGAGCAGTAATAACCAACGCGTAGTTTTTTTAATATAAATATAACAAAATATTTATGGTCATAAGACAATGTACATACATATCTTTATAGTGACGTATTGATTACGGCCTATCTGTCACCCGCACTAACAAATTTAAGCCAGCCGATTACTTCTACCGTCAACAGGCTCTCAAAGGCCAAGCAATACGGAGGATTCGAATGGAGATATCAGGTACATCATACCGCAAGCTCGGCCTTCTCGCCCCCCCTTCAAACCCAGTGCTATTTTTACTCTCAATATGACAGATAGTTAAGTACGGCATGTTTCAGTAAGCGCACTACACAGAGTCGGCCTGGTCAGGGATCAGTATCGTTGAGCTGATTGCAAAACGCTATTTTCCGGCTTTATCGAGTATTACTATTATCGTCTAGTGGCGGTACGATGGAGAAGGAGTGATCTGAGTCGGTAATCTGGACTTATCGCCTCTGTAGACACAAATTGACAACGAGTCACTGTATAATTTACGCGATAGAACTCATACAGGTTTCCCGGCAGAAATTTGAAAAAGCCTAGCATGTGTTTATGTTAACGCCCATGTTAACAACTGTTGTCTCATTTTTACTTGTTTGCTTTTAGAACAAGTGGTTTTAATTAGAAAGCGTTCGCCATGCCAACTTTTCCCTATGGACTACGTATGTATCATGTGTATTGTTTTATGTAGTTCTTCTATAAAGTTCAAATTGATGTAAAGTACTTACAACATACACAGCCAACAAATCGGACACATTAATGCTATAGATTATACAGAATAGGTAAATAGGAACATTTGGCATATTAAGCTACCTGTTTTTCGAAAGTGTGAAGCAAAATATTGTACAGATTAGTCTATCAGAGATTCTGAAATCTGTTGCAGTAACACCTAAAGCTCGTGCGAGATGGATCGTATCTACGAAATCTGTCCCACTATATTGGTGGCATCAGAATAGGATTTAGAGCCCCCAGTACGAACTACATTAAAATGTGCACCCTGACCATATCTACGGAAAAGGCTAAGAAGGACAATGCGCAAATGTATATCTTCAGACTCGTCATTTCTGCCAGCCTATTGTTCTTGTCAAAGACTTGTTTTAAATATGCTACACGCGATAGCTTGTTATGTACCACACTCGCAGCAAGCACCTTTTCTCCTTCCAAAATTCACCTTGGCTAAACTAAGCACTGAATTCAAATAGATCTTCAAAGCCTTCGCACTAGAGGCTACGTAGAAATTACATGAAAACAGGCAGCGGTAGAAAGTGAAAACGTTTGTCGAACAAACGCCGCGACCGCCTCATGTTTATTATACTTATAGAAACACAAATAAGTAGCTTAAAGTACCCCCCAAAAAACGCGACTATATATGTTAAAACCCCAAGAACAAGGTGTAATAATAATACCCATCGAATACTGCGTTAATGCAAATCAATGAAACTACTAAAACAGTTATATAATATAATTTACAGTACTACTGAACGTTATCAACGTCGTTGATAAGCGCAGGTGGCATTATTTTTTCCGAACTGCCGCACTGAAGACAATATCAACGTATGCAATAGTTAATGTCGCGTTGGTATTATGGTCACCCGAAAAAGCCGCAGCGTGTATACAAGAAAGCAATGCTATTTTTAGTGTACCGTTTCGTGTACACCGTAAAAACCCACCCAAAGTACGCAGCTTAATTTGCGGGAACTTTATGGCACAGCCAAAATTTCTCTCGATTCAACACAGAGACAACGTTTGCCGTTGCGAGTGTAGCTATCGTGGTGTACATATTCTTGCCTCCATTACGCTTTGAAAGTCATTTAGTTCGCTTCTAGAAATTTTCAATGGAAGGCTTCCAGCCGTCACCGTCCATGTCAGTAGCGAAGAACGACTGCAAGTAAATCAAGGTCGACCGTCCTTACGATTCGATTCGGCATCTTGAATCGTGTTTCTCACGTTCGCACCTTTGTTGATCCAGTATATAAAATTCGATTTAGCTGGCCGTAAGCGATCTAGATTTGACGTCCATCTTGCCCGAGCTCATTAAGACCGAGCATACATGGTAAATATATCTCATTTGAATTGTACCTACAAGGTTATACGGCGACCTATTCCATTCTATCAGTTCAAATTCGCTAGCTTAATCTACGTGGTGTAATAGAAAAAAAAAAATCAGAAGTTGTCTATCGATTATTAAAGAAATCAGCGTAAAATTCGATTACGCATCCGATGCCAATTGATTTAATGTCAAACTGGAAGGATCCTTTTTTCGTTAAATGTGATAACGTCCGATAGCAGAAACCGCTTTACTTCTGCTCCAGCAGCAAATTTAGCCAGCACTAAGCCAACCCGACGACGTAAAAAAAGGTAAGGGACGCCAGCGTTACTAGTTTATCTACCATCAAATAACATCCGCAACGGCCGCCAACGTTTCCACCATCGGTCCTTGGTCCCTTAAAAAGCAAGCCAAACTGAAAAAGAAGTTCGTTTATACAAAACCCAGATATATGCTAATGTTGCTATTTGCCAGTATAACACAGCTCACGAAACTACAAACAGACTGCCAGGTCAACGCTGGTTAATAGATGAAAAAAATATACCTTTATATATGGATTGGTAAGTATTTAGCTGAAACTGACGTCGGCACATAAAATCAGCTCTATAATTTCGCACTTATATGGTTATCCACAATTCTTCTGCGGGTAATATAGCTATTGAACGATTGGCTAGCGACTGCTATGAGAGTGCTGATGGTCGTCCGTAGCCATTTGACTGCGCTGATAAAGGGGCAGTGTTATCTCTATGTGTAACAAAGTAATGTTTTACTGATGACAGGCGGCGGAATGTTGTTAACGAATTATAGATCCGTGTACAGGTCTAAATTGAAATGATATCTTACGTCTAATCAAATATCGTGTGTTTGACACATTCGAGAAAACTTTTTGCCGAGGCCTGTAGTGATTAAGCAAATACGTACAGCGTTTTTTTTTTTTTATGTATTGGGGAAGTGATTTCAGCACTAACTACATGTTACAGCAGGTCTACGAAGGCCATTAGCCGTCCTATCCAGTGTAACGCAGGCTAGGGCAAAAGCATTTTCAAAATTAAAAAGGAAAAAAGACTCGCTTGGCAGTGAAGCAGTTTTCGTTGAATAGATCTTCTGTTGCCTGGACCTCTTTAATTGTCAAAATGGCCGAGAGATATTTGCCCTTTCCAATATAGTTTGTTTGCTTTTTGCCGAAAGGAAGGGATTTAGCTGTCGCGATAGGACGGCAATTACGTCTGAACAACGAGTGGACAAGGTTGCGTTTGCTATTGTATAAAAATTTTATCCTTTCCATGGCACAACGGCATCACTGTCTATTGCATTATCGGCGTTCCGAGGTTTTAGCTCGCAGGAAATTTCGAAGTATGCAAAAAAAGAAAACATAAGATTCTAATAAAGTGAGGGCCGCAGGTGGTTTCCGAAAGTTGAAGCTATGTACAGATTAATATATAATAGTGATTTATTTTATATAGCGTACAATCATTTTTCATCGTGTTATCTTTACACTATGGTCTAAAAGAACGTGAAAGTCATGACATGAAAAGTTTGCACTCTTCTCTTTATATTGATTCTCCTATAACATTCATAGAAAGACGTTTTAATCGGAGAATGAAAATAAGTCTAAGCCGGGCAAACATTATCGCAACCTATGGGCTTATTTTCTATTTCAGACTAATACCGTTTCATAAATAAATGTCAATTTATCTAGCACAAACAAAAATGCTCAAACGCAATTTTATTATGTACTCTCTTCGGTGTTTACTTCCTGTTTGTAAAAGTTTCTTTTGTGCGTTGCTTGAAAACACACGAGTACACCTGGATCAATAATGAGACCAAATACGATTGGCTCGACACCAATTTATGTTGTACATGTCTGCTGTCCTTCAACGATTGGTGCGTGAACACGTATTACATATAACTAGGATAGAATAGAACGTAGAACTAGCAGACAAAAGGACATTTGGCGACGCTAAGTTAACAGGCACGTCGAGGGAAGGCTGAAAATAAGCTAAAGACTAGAGTAACTTATACGAAGAGCACAGTGGACCTAGGTCGCTCTGTGTCTCGGATTCAAGTTGGACAAAAAATGTCTTCTTCGCTTACTTCTCACATAACAACCATTTTCTAATTTTTGACATGCCTGTATTTCGTACTTTGTTTTAGGCTTGTCAGCCGCTCGGGAATGTATCAAACGTGGCCAGGAAGTAATCGTGCTTGAAGCACGTGATCGCGTCGGTGGCCGGACTCACACAAAAGAGGTACTACTATAAGAACAAAAAAAAAACTAGCAAATCTTATTGAAAGCTAGTGCTGTTTATATTACATTTTAAATTGTGACTATCTTTTACAGCTTAGTTTGAAATTGAAATATCAACATTTCTTCATTCAGATAAGTCATTTTTTTAGAGTCTCGCTGATATATATGGTACATAAATAAATTTTACTACGTCTTTATAATTACCACATAGGTATAATTACTGTACTGCTGAGGCAATTTATCAGGTAGCAGGCACATGTTTATTTTAGCGTTAATATAAAGCCTTATTTTGCAAAAAAATCAACATAGCCTTGTCGACTTAGCTGTAAATACATATAGCGCGCATATGGTATGGCAAGCACGACCCTCGACGATAGGGCAAAATCTAACATTACGTAATTAGTCTACTGAAAAATTAAAAAAATAGGTGTCCCCCTTATTCATATGCACCATTTAGCGCTGTCCTCACATACACCCGCCCCCCTATAAACTGGGCAGGAACTCCTGATGTAAGTACATTTAGGGATTACTTTCAAGAGTTACTTAAGCAGTGCTTAAAAGCAATAGCTCTGTCCCGGCTACTTTGTGTACATACGCAATGAAATGTATCAGCTTGTTGTTCTATTTTCTAATTAGTGAATTTTCTTGTCAGGGCGTCGAATTCGGGTACGTGGATATCGGGGGCGCTTACGTAGGAGCGACACAGAATTATTTACTAAGAACTCTGCAAGAGCTCAATTTGCAGGATAAACTATACCGCATCTACGTTGAGAATCGATTCGTTTTTCTGCTCAATGTACGTAATGGCTTCCGGTATTAAAATCGAAACTTCGTTTGGAGATGCTTTCCTATGATTGGTTATTTTCAGAAAAACTCTAGCCAGGTCAGCACCGGCTTAAGTAGTCTAAAATGGTAAGTGGCGTAAACGATTTTTATAAAACGCTTTTTAGCAAATATGTAGAGCAGTGGAACAAACAGTTTAGCTTCAGAGTAGACCTTGAACTCTATTGCTCATTCAGGGCAAGCGATACCAGCACCCGGCGGACGACTTCCCACACTTCTGGAACCCACTAGCCGAAATGGACGTCAACAATTTTTTCCGAACTTTAGACGATATGGGCAAAGAAATTCCGGCGGAGGCCCCGTGGAACGCTCCTCATGCCGAGGAATGGGACCAAATGACATGTAGGGAGTTCGTCAACAAAACGTGTTGGACCAAGTTAGTATTGGGCAAGCAGGATAATCAGGATGAGAGTTTAACACGTCCAAATACGAATACATTTTACGTCTGCACGGACCTTAGCGAGACTGGCCGTTTTGCCAGTTTCGAATCTAGACATGATCATTTCGAGACTGGTAGTTCTTATTTCCCGGAAATGAAGCAAACAATAAATTTAAATATCGTTAGCAACTGCAGTTAGCACGCCCATGTGCCACAACATTCGAAGTTGTGCTACATTTGACTTGTTCTCATTCTGTTCTCTCGTTCTAGAGAGGGTCGCGAATTCGCAGAGTTCTTCATTCAGATCAACGTCACCTCGGAGCCCTACGAGTCCTCCCTTCTTTGGTTTCTTTGGTACATCAAACAATGTGGTGGCGTTAAGCGAATCGTTTCTATTAAGGTACTGCTAGTCCGTGAAAATAGTCTATGTCGAAAAAAGCTTACTCGAAACTTATGCGATCCTCCCAATTTGCTTATACGAAGCACACGTAGTACAAAATTACGTACGTTTTCAACAGTAAACTGTAATCACTTGGTGCGGGAGTAAACGGTTACGATTTAACTTGATTTCAGGGTGGAGGTCAAGAAATGAAGATGAAGGGTGGCATGCAACAGCTCAGCGAGTCAATGTTCAAATCACTTGGAGGTCTGTGGCTGGTCTATTCGATCAAGTATTCTTCCAACGTTTACCCTAGCAAATATGAACCGCGTACATAGGTACCTTTTGTCCTACTAAAACGACCATTTTAACCGAATCACTAACAAATTGATCGTTACGGCAAGATACGTATCAACTCATTATGGTTAAGCAACAATGCTCTAAATAGAAAGAGTTTTGAACCTTTTTTTGTCAGGTGTGATATACAACATCTAGTTCTATTGTTGCCACTTTTATGTTCTCTATGATATTTTAGAACGAGTTAAATTAAATCATGCTGTAGTATCAGTGGAACACTCGAACGGCGGCGTCGTCGTACGCTGTATAAACGGTGAAAAATTTGAGGGGTCACATATTATTCTGGCAACAGCTCCTCCAATGCAGATGAAAATTCATTTCTCTCCTAGTCTTGGTCCGCTCCGTACTCAACTAGCGCAACGTATGCCGATGGGATCTGTATGGAAACTCCAGGTTTATTATAAGGTAACAGTACATACCGATATTAAAAACGAGTTCCCGTAATCGTGCAGTAGTAGTAGTAGTAGTATAAACGTAGGGGCAGGTGGGGTAATGCCAGAATCCGCTGGTGCCTCGCTTCGTGCTGGAAGGGGTTAGCTCGTGCTCAACTAGTCTAGTATCGAAAGTAAAATCCGAAATATTTAATATGTATGAACAATAAACTAATCCTGTTTTCAAGTTTCAAACTGTACACGAATTGTACCCAGCAACGTGACGCTTGCTTACATATGAATCGTTCCTGGGTTATGGTTAAATATTTATAGGATGCTTGGTGGCGTGACCTCGGCTATAGCGGCGCCATCGGCGCTACTCCATCAGAGACGTATGCTCCCGTTATCTATACGATAGACGACACGAAGCCCGATGGCTCACATCCGTCCCTAATCGGTTTTATGCCGGCAGACCGTGCGCGAAAGCTCCTTCATCTTACGCCGCAGCAGCGATGCGATATGCTAAAAGCGATGTACAACCACGCCTTCCAGACGGATAAGGCCAATGATGTTCGTACCATGAATGGGTATACAGGAGAAAAATTGTCACGCAATGCATATATAGATATACGTATAGTGAGTCAGTCGTTCAGCAAGCTATATTAAGAATAACTAATAAAATAATAAATAATGTCTGAGCTTCGGCTGTGGCAACAAAAGACTATACGACAAACTATCTGATAATGACGCGGTATGGTAATGATTCCAGGTGGTGCATTATTTAGAACACAACTGGATGGGTGAGGAATACACAGGCGGATGCTATTCTTGCATGCTCCCGCCTGGCGTTCTGACGACCTTCCGAGGGTACGTTCGAGGATAGGGTGCGGTGATGTTACGGACGCTGGTTGTATTTTCGTATGCTGAAACTGGGGTACTCTAGCAATCATTGAACGAACTTCGCAACAAAACAACTAGCTTCCATTGCAACTTTACAGTTACAGACAAACTTTTATCTTTCCGACAAAATTTACTTCGTAGTTTTATTAACCGCGTTAGTGCTGTGAAGGGCATCGACAAGGAAACTAGATTTAGTATTATCTGTCTATATGTCTTTCTTATGGGAAGAATAATAAGCACTACTATAGACTTGCACTCGAATACAAAGACATAGCAAGATCATATCGAAATAATGGCATTTTAGCTCATCACCATGAATATTCTAATATTGAAAATAAATTTATCTCGTAAATGATTTTTTAGAACGCTTCGAGATTCGATCGGTCGCGTCCACTTTGCGGGTACTGAAACAGCCTGGGAATGGTCGGGCTATATTAATGGAGCTATCGCCAGTGGTGAACGGGCCGCTAAGGAAGCGCTTTATCAGCTCGGACGAATTGATCAAACTATCATGGATGCTAAAGAGCCGCTCAATCACGTACGTATCGCGTCGTTCGCGATTAGGCCGTTTCAAAGGCTTTCCGTCACGTTTGTGACCGTCTCAACAGCCGTTAGGGGTTATTCTAGCAATGAAATTATAGGCTAGACTGGTACCTGCATGCATCCAAGCTGATACTCGATATTCGTTGCAAGCTTAGTTGGCATCTTCATTACTCAAATGAATTTTTGCCGTCTATCTGCGTTTATTATTTATATTGTATCGGTAAACTTGTAGTTTACCATGCATTGTCTTATTTATTTTATTGGTTTTTATGTGTTCGTTTTAGTTTATCCCGATCCAGGACTTCAGTAACACATTGTACGAGACTTATCTCCCATCGGTGCCATGCTTCCTCCGCTTAATCGGCGTTGCGGCTCTTGGACTAGGTCTTTATGCTGCGCATAAAAAGGGAGTTGCCCTCTGCCCTATCGAGGCCCTGAAACACCTGTGCGAACGTAATTAGACGTTAAACGACTCAAGTCGGCTTTCATTCGGTCTCCCGAGGCGTGCACCGGACCTATCCTAGCAGTCTAGCAGGACGTTATTATTTCAATGATCCACCTACGCAACTGACGATCAGAACAGACCGTCGTCGCACAATCAGACTATTTTGACGAGTGGCTTCTTTTTGTTGAATTTCATTATTGTATATTGGTATTTTTATTCATGAAGCAGGCTCATGCAAAAAACTTATCACATCGTATAGACAACTGCTCTATTGGCCCATATTTGTGAGAATAAAGAAAGCTTATCTGTCTACGCGTTTAACTCGGAAAACTTTTAATGTTTTATAAAGGAGCGCGCCCTATTACATTGGCTAGCTATTCAAATGACATGCATAGAAGAAATTGAAAAATATACATATATGCACAATGAAAACTACGCGGTACGCTCTGCAGGTAGCTGGAAATTTCGATATATTTATTATATATTTCGGGAAAAAAAATCAATAAAATAGTTAATAGCTCATAGATAATATGTATTCAAAAAGCACGTACGTAGTAATTAAAAATCGTATAGAGGAGTACATATTTACAGGGCATTCGACGTTCGATATTGTAGGCAACACGAGAGCGAAACCCTCCAACAAACAGGCATCATTCTTACCCGTCTGTTCGACTCATCAGGTAAATATTATAACAAGAAATTATATATATACAACTTATTCCTGTAATATTAATATAACTTATCTGCAAAGGGACCTATAATCCTCGTAGAGGAAAAGTTGGGTGGTCTGGAGGATATAGGAAATACCTCTTTGGTCAAATTAAAAAAGGCGGCCTACTTCAGTTGAAAATATGAATATGTGATTTAGCCTAAGAATATGCGGTCCTATTTACAAAATTATCGTTTCGAAATAGAAACAACCAGATTTCATAATAACAACAAGCAATAAGTCAAGAACGGCACCAGTTGCTTTTATTTGCGTACCTAATCGCTGTTTATTCCATAGATATTAGCAATTTAACGCGTATTACGTCTATTAGTGTGTGCTTAACTCCATTCGATTATCTATAGCCGTCATCGTTTCAGCATCTCAATGATCCACTGCGAGTTCCAGAGAGGGGGTCAGTACTCACGTACTGTTGAAAGAATTTTTTCTTTTGCAAAAAAGAACGCTTCCAACGTATCCCTTATGTACTCTGCCGTGTATGAATATCTGTAGGCAATACGCAATTACCTATGCTTTTCGACCGTAATGGCAGTGCTTGAGAATATAAACGGGCCTTCTACACGAAGGACATTTTAACCTGTTTCCCATCGATATTCTTATTTATCGGCTACAACTTTTATGGATTTATGCTGCCTTTTTCTTAAAGTCTCTTTATCACTTCTTAATTTATTTGCATATCGCAAATATTATGCCTCTGTGTAGTTTGCGTCGAAACGACGTCTGTGCGCGTTTGTCCCGAGGCGACTCAAACATCGGATGATACAAAGCCATTGATTGTATTACTGGGGTCTCAATGTATGCGGCCTGGAGAAAGGGGCACAGAACTGTACATTTGGCGTTAGCCAACTACCGTCCGAGAGGATGAAGAAGACCCGTATCCAGTTTGGGCTTCGTTATGAAGCTTAGTTGGAAACCATAAGCGATTTCCGTCTGGTCCGAAAGTTCCTGAACACATCCTCGTATTTGCCTCTGACCGGTATAATATTACAATTGCCCCTTGGTGTAATTTATTTGAAACGGAAAAGTCAACCAAACATTTACTCATAACTGACTGGCAATAGCCTCTCCGAATTGACGCATATAATTATTATCCTCGGATTTAAAAATGCTTCTTTTTTTCTTTTAAGAAATGTAACTTATTTTGCATTCTGGTTGGTTCTGTCGAAACCTTCACAGAATAAAGGCTGTACGGGGTCATGTTATTAGAACCAAACGATCACTGTGCTGCTATAATCATGTTTATTAGTTAACTAATTATTATATATCTAATATTATATATATATACACACATAATATATATATATATATACTATAATATATATATATATATATATATATTGTAGTTATGGATACATAGGATGCTACCCCTGCCCTTGCGAGAGGAGATGCACCCTCGTTTGTTGAGGTATCAAATAAGACATATAAGATAGATATAAGAATTAGGTAAAGATCGAATTTTTGTTTCGAGGATAACTGGACGAGTTTATGCTTGATACACATTGCACCTTTCTTTTCATTTAACATAGAACGGTTTATAAGCAAAAAATTATACGGATTAGTTCCAGGAGAATGTAGGCTAAGGGGCGTTTGGATGCTGAAATAGGTGCGCCTCTATACATACGGGATTTTTTTAATTGAAAGCGAAAATTGTAAACCTTTTACACACGCCTACCTGTGCCTACAATTACTCGGTGTCTGACATTATCACGCTCACTTAGCTCATTCATTGCAGAAGAGCTTAGCAATGTCTAGGATGTAGAAGGATTACACTGAATATTAGAAATATTGTTGTCTCAACGAACAATACAACAGGTAAAATCCTCGACGGCCTAGCATTCTCTGCAATACACATTGAACCATTAGATCGAAACGTTAATCTCGTCAATGTGGCAGGATGCCTAATACATTACATACTAAATCTTTTACCTTTTATTGGTTTATCATTGATGGCTCTCAAGTAAATTGTCGGTTGCAGGAAAATTAAAAAAGAAAAAAAAAGAGTGTGACAAACTTAGCCGTTAGACGTTTACATGGATTATATTATTAGATTTTAACGAGGAACATGAAGGAAAACTGATTTCAGACATACACAATCCTTATAAATCGCTGCTGTTAGTTGGCAAGTACCGTTCGGCAGCAAACAGACGTTTGTTTTAGCAAAAAAACGCCAGCCATCCACTATTTTCAATATGAATATTATTGCACGTAGCTCGTCAATATGGAAGACCAGTAGATTGTTTCTTCTTGTTTCGTTAAGGTTAATCATGCACCATTTTTGATACGAATAGGGTCTAACGTGTCAGATAAGCAAATTTGCCATGTGTCGAAACGTTTCGATGCAACGACTCCATATAAAATGGGTGCTACACTATATTCAAACGTGGGCCATTCAACCCCAGTTATAGGGGGCGCCGATCCACTAACGGCGGGCAGGGGGGCGGTTGACATATACGGACAAAGTTCTCTTGCATGCATTGGTCGGGTCATTGATTTTTAGATACTCCCACGTTGAACTTCCTACCGACGCAATAATATAGTCATTATTTTAGGGAAAGATCAGATGCGCCTTCTATCGTACAGCTGCAAAATTCATCCTACTTTTATATGATACCTTCTGTTGAAGCAGATGCCATGATTGAAGTAGTTCCCGCTCAAACTACTGCTAATTACGACTAATAGGATATAGCGTTGTTTCGATGTTTTTTGTCCATCAGTGATCCAAGTCCAACCTGCACGTTCACTCATATGTCCTGTTTTTCAGTACCATTTTACGTACGCATTATTTCCATGTACATAGTTCGAATGCTTAATACATGGTGGCAGATTCCGAGTTTTAGGCAGTGTTACTGTATAATTTATTAGGGCGACCAATATAATTGTGTTTCCTTTCACTTAAAGACTGCCTGAAGGTTTTAGCTGATCGCTAAAAGAAACATAATTCATATTCAATCAACGGAAAAAAAATCAAAATGCGCTGTTATTCAGCCAGAGCTGTTATTAATCAAATGTTCTACATTTACAAAAAAAAAAGCAAGAAGGGTTTCCACCGCATCGGTAAGCTCTCACGCAGTCAGTTTAGGCGATACACATTAGGGGATTTCCAATATCGGCAAGTAAGGAAAAAACCCGCACTAATACGACAAGTTTCAAATGAATGAACGACCGACCGACCGACCGATCCGAAATATCCGATAGATATGTATGATAATCTTTCTTGATATCGACGTCAATAGAAAATTATCAGAACAAGTCGCTAGTCAACGCAGTGGTTCAGCGTCGCTGTGCGTAGACAATGATAATAATTCCAATGCGTATAACTTACGATGTTACATCGTAACGTACATTGAACTGACAGGCATCAGAGATTGTTCAAAAGTAGAAGAGCAGATCCGAAATTTCCAGCATTTCGATCACGTTATTCATATGAGGTCTTTGATACTGTCCAAACGCTATCGTCACACCTTCGACGATATCCTCCTTACGACGGTTTTTCAGTGAAGGAATGATGACATCATCGCTGACCAGATGGCTGAGTTGCAGTTCTAACTCGTACTCCAGACCCTACATATGATACCAATGAGATAAAGTACACAACGATGTCAAAAAGCTTTCATGCTGACTAAGAAAGGTGAACCTCGTCAGGGATGCAGGCTGTATAGCAATTAACTATACGTTAGTTTTTTGTACAGCTGAATGTGATAACCGTATGGCAACGAGAGCATAACAAACATGCTCATCCTAATAGCTCTAAGGAAGTGGACATTCGAGCGGATCACAATAGCCGCCTGTTCTCCCTTGGAAAATAGAACCTCAGGCTTAAAGCAGGTACAGAACACATACGCATATCCCGCCAGTGACGCTCCAGGACGATTCGTGCGAATAAAAAAGTCGTTTATAAGTAACCAACTTTCGCGTAGTTACTTACATAAATATTGAATCTAACGGTTGAAACTTAACAGACGAATAGGCTACCTTTCTAATGAAAAAGGGCCGAGTAAGTTTAAGTTTAACATCCTTGTCTTTTGACAGCGTGAACGCCACTTCGCATTCTTCACGTTCACGGCGATCCTCCTGAATCTGTAAGAGTAAAAGTAATCAGACACCAAAACAACTAAGAAGCGGTTCTGTTACTTCGACTCACAAGCGTCTCAACCGGTATATGTGAGCCTATCTTCGACACAACAGCTAATATAGGAACACGCTACGAGTCTTGAGCTTTAGCAAGAATTGGAAATAAAGGTCATACTGTAACACTATTTTCATAGGCTAAAATGCAGGCCAAAACTCCAACACTTTTTATTTATTTTTGTAAAATGCGAGTTAGCCATGAGTTTCTTTTGTGTGATAAACAGGTACAGTGATTCATTAGTACTATGCATGCTGCAGTATCGCTTACGTACTCGGTAGCTGCAGCGAAGCATGCCGTCATACTTGTGGGTGCGTACGCTGTACGATCCGAGGTCCTGACGAAGTGGAAATCCGAGTCCGGTGATGAAGATGTCTCTTGTCAAAACAGTGAATCGCAGGCCTATAAAACGGACAGGCCGTGACGGCGGGTGGAACGAGACGGCCTGATAACGCCGGGCCGTGAAATTCTCCGGGGGACTTAGGCGTTTTGTACCCTCCGGACTGATACCTGTAGTAGCCAAAATTATGGTTTTACAGAAAGCCACAAACACAGCCTCAGGTGTAGAGTATAGATCCGCTGAGTCCAGCAATGGACAGACAGGACAGGGGCCATTAAAAAACATTCAACCGGGATACCGCTTACAATCTATTCTAAAAATAAAAGTAACAATTAATTGAAGAACTCGCGTCGTCTCACCCTTGGGGAGATTGACAATACCGGGTATAGCCATGTTCATGAATACAGCGTAACACTCATCACGTGAAAGAAGACCTGATCGAGCTGGACCTTTTGTGAATTCTTCGGGGCTCAATGCAAGGAAGCGAATCTGGAAAACCGATCGCAGGCAAGTGGCAAAACATGGTCATATGGTGACTATCAATTAAGGACATCTGTCTTTCTTTTTCATCATGACAATATCCCTTAACACTGAAGTAATGCTTAGATAAATTTATCTTTCTCTCGTTACAAATAGTTGTTTTAATATATTTGCATAGAATAATCTAATTGATTTTCTGCTCGATACAACTCTCGACCACAACGTAAAAACTTTCGTATATCTCAACCTCTAACGCTTTCCGATTTATCCGCCCTAAAATATTCACAGCATAGCGAGCATCTCTGTGTATCTAATGCCTCGCCTATGTTTTTAAGGTTCATGGACTTGTCCCTTTTTGTGGCAACCAGTCTTATTCGAGGCCTGTGCACGTTTCTACGGAGAAAGAAATCAGAGTCCTTACAGCCACTGCAGCTATGCAGCGGGCAGTGCCATGTCCTTGGATTAATAAAATCCCATTTGCGGAATTCGATCTTATGGATCGCCGCTACCCCTCGTATTTTGAGACAACTAAGTTACCCATTGTTTGCTGACGCAGAATTGCATATAAAGGTCTATAAGGGATGAAGAAAATCAGACGACTTGAATCGTCAGTTCTGCGTACAGCGCTTGAGATTGATTTGAATTTGTGCTATATTTACCTGAGAAATGACTGTGTCCCCCATACACACCCGAACATTTTCGATTTCTGACTTATCGAGACCACGTCTGGAATTGAATGTAAATCATTAGAAAATATTGCAGACCAAATCACAGCTAGTAACTCGGACGGCGACACAATATATATATATATATAAATCCAGTCATCTATGGGTAGTTGTAAGACTATATACCGCTTATCGACAGGACATTTTCCCTTATTCCTTATCTATATTTGCAGTGAGCCAATCGAATTTCAACCACCACGAGGTACTCACATGCTCTCCTTATACTGTATAATAAAAACGAGAGGCCCCTGTACTATCTTTACTGCTGTTTTCACTACGTATTATCATTGTATAGGCCTCCTCAATCTTAGCTTTCAGTCTTAAGTTCCTCATAGAGGCCAGAGCTTTCAGATCATGACAATCATGCTTCCCGTTTCTAAATGAATCACAGATCTCCTCCCTACCGCCTTCAGCGTAACATAGCTCTATGTGAAGGCCGTCCTACACGCCTCGCTCTTATTAGTCATGCAAACCACACTTATTTACCTACGTATCAGTGCTAGCAAAATGTCAATATTGATTTATAAGGATCTTATATAAATAAAAATGATGAACTAATTCACTGTTATAGACGTTTTACGTTACCAACCTGTTGCACTCCTCGGTGGCCCATTGAACTGCAGCTTGATATAGGGCATATTCCGAGTACAGATTGAGGTATTTACGATGCACAATTGTCTCCAGCGTCGTCGCCTGAACACTGACCAAAGTAACGAGAACGGTTTGTATTGGGCGCATGTATACAGTGGGACCGTACGAACGTTATCGAATCTAAACGTGTACATCATTTACATTTTATCTTGCCCTGTATAATATGGCAGTATATATAAACACTTTCCGTATAATGGTGTTTCACAATTATTTGAATTCCCGTACAATTACACTTCTCGATTATATAATTGTCAGCTAGTTTTGTAAAAATGCATATAGGCGAAAGAACCGATGACTTTTCGTACCTGACGAAATTTTCAGATGTCAAAACGTGGTAGGTCTGTCTATCAATTATGTTTAGACACTGATATATGAGAGTGTACGCTTCCATCAGCGATGCAAACTCGAACACCTAAAAAATCGATAGGGATTCACGGACGAATATAACCTAAATTGTTTTGTTGACCTTCATGATGAGTGCGGCATAGTATTAAAAGTTCAAGCCGGTCTATAGATCTACATGGCAAAAACAAAGCAGCAGAAGAAGGTACAGCTGGACCACACTATAGTCGCTAGTACATCGACGTTTATCACACCTACAGTCAACTACTGACACGCATAATTCTACGTGACGGTCTGTGTTTAAGAAATTTCTAAATAAACATTTTTACCAGCGCCCTTTCGTTAAACGCGTTAAAAATAAAACTTGTCATTGCGATTCGGTTCCGTCACCAAGCCGTCTAAAGTTACGTAAAAGCCCCAGCTGAACTAAATAGAGCCAAAGGCCTTATATTGAAACCATGGTTTGCTAATGACAGGGAGAACGCATATGGGTTCATGACGACTAAATAGCGAGTCGACAAGTACCCTGCATAGAACTCGCGCCAAAGTTTTGCCAGGAGCAGGCGAAATCCTGCCAATGGCTGAGCAACGTGCGAACGACTACCCTCGAACGTCACGCGGCCTTTCCGATGACCTGTCCTTCACACAGGCATCTTCTGACAAACTCAACCCCACCCGGCTATTATTGTGCATGCCTACATACACTCGGTCAGTTCACATGACCCAAGCAGTAAGCGGGTCAAAACTCTGCGTTGCTATTCCTGTGGGTGGACGGGTCTCTTGGGGATTGGCTACGATGCTCGCTAAACATCTAGATCCCCGAATTTCTCTTTCGCTCTCCTTCGCACGTGGGCCGCGTTTGGCCCCATGCCACTGACCTGGCAGACAGTCGCTGGGGTTACATTTTTTTCTATGAAGGTGAAGCAGTCCTTTAGTAGGTGAGGTAGAATGTATTTCTTGGCTGGAAAACATTGAATGCAATGCAATTACAGTGTGAATAAGAGTGATGAGGAGAAACGCAAGCACGATCAATTCAATGTTTTTTGAAGCTCTGAGAATTTTTATTAACAGCGGTTACTTCTGAAGCCACAGACATCAATTATGAACTGTTTCATAACTATTCAACCGGTACGACTATTTATTTCCTTCGACCATTATTATTATACGTGTGTAAGTGAAGGCGACCTTCCCGAAGAAAGGAGACCTCGTATATACAACAGAAGATTATTTAGCAACAGCCGATAAACGTAAACTTACCAGCAAAGGCAGTCAGCATTGCGTCATCAACAGTCTCCAACTTTAAATTATCAGTGTACGCGTAACGAAGTAGATTCTCAAAACCAATTGGCGCTATATCCGATATTCGTATCACCTGCAGATGATTATTATCTAAATATATTATACGGGTTTTAGATTCTCTTTAAAAATATATATCCCTGACTTGGCTTCTTTTGTGCTCGCTCTCTAGAACTTTATTCAATATATCGGAGCGTTCAAAATGCGAGCTCCACAGTGTCACGTTATCTATTATTTGTACGTGATAATAATAACAATTAGTTTCATGCTCTACCATTATTCGTACGACACGATGCCTATGTCTACCCTCGTATCGCCAATCCAAACCTTACTAGACCCGTTTGGCTTCCGACATAACGTGTTAGGCTAATTAATATATAAATTAAATAAAAATTACATAAATTATTATATAAATTTGTCGTTATTTAAATGTTTTGATTATATTTATTTGTAGACGCTAATGATTGATCGGCTATATTGGCTCAGCTGCACTGCCTCGAACTTCAACGAGGCAATTATGACGCCCGTTTAAACACGCGAGCAAGTAGGTATACTTCCCATTTCTCGATGGTCAAGAATGTACCCCGTTTGATAATGCCATACTCAAATACTTTTGTTATTAAGTTCGTTGAATTTTAGGGATTCGTTTTTGTGCAGATTATCAGAATCAACTCAAAAACAAGAACGCCCATTAGTTTTGAAAACCTATACTCAGTGGCCAAGTCTTTACTCCCTGAAGGCCACAGCGCTCGGGAACCTTAAGCGAAAGCACGTAAGTAAAGCAAACGTTTTAAGAACAAAAATTGAAGTGTTGAAGACCAGCATGCAAGCGACCAGAGATTGAGACCCGATCCACAAAAGCGCGTAAGAAGACAGAGCTTGAGGTCTAGAAGTTTTGTCAATTAAAACTGGCTTTTCACCTATAATGTGTTACAAAATTACAAACCTATTACTGAAACTGAATAAAAAAAAACGTAAACTGACCCTAGGCCAATTGGGAATACCTGTAATGTATTCCATCTCCAATTTGCGGAACTTTGTTCAACAAAAAACCTGCCTAGAATATATGGTCGCCGTAGACGAGGCTTAGTTTAGTGTTTGCCGCAAGACGGATGACGAAGCAGGCAAGAGAATAATGTTATTATCGAATGGATTTGAACGCAAGATAATGGTAGCATTACGACATCTGCGACTATGAGGTAAATCAAACAAGTTTACTATTCGAGTTTCTTAAAAGGTCCATACAACGTTAGCACGACAGTAGAAGGCACACAGCCTGGCTACTTGATGACAACATCAGGTCCTATCGCGATGCTCTGATTACTTTTTGGCTTTAGCAAAGGAATACCTATCTGTTTATTTTTCCAAGTCCGTATCATTATAAGGCATCTGACAACATATGGTGTATTTTTTCAATAGTAGGCACATGATCTACTGGTTTCTGGTCACAAAGTCTACAGAAAAACTTATCGGCCTGCGGCGTGTTTAAGATATAGGCATTTTTTTGCAACGGCTTCAGCTCAATACAGTTTGTTTATTCGGCGATAGGATGACAAGGGGTCAGATGGCCAGCTAAATCATTGTGGCAGCTTCTGATCATTGCTGAATACTTCTGATTTATACATTACCGAGTACTGCTCGATATGATCTGGGACTAATTCGTTGGTGAACGAAACCTACACGCTAATTTTATAATCTAGCCGGTGAAAGAGAGACGTCAAGCCCATTCTAAACAAGAACTTGAAAAGCTATATATATATATTCCTGGCGTGCCAGTCCATTGAAAAAGAGATTGCTGGACAGTATACATCGATCCTGTACCATAGAAATGATCCATCGTTCAAGCAAGGGTGAAGTATTTAAATTCCGACAAACTTTCACGGCCTGCCAGCATGCACTCACTCGCTATACCAAACGAAGACCATAGCACAAGACAATGCGTCGTATGCGGAACTTGAGCGAGGATCAATTATTATTTAATGAGTTCACGCGTGGCGACCCTTTGCCGACGTAATAACACAGCTTTTTTGCGGAATCGACGGTTTACGCTATATTTTTGTTTAGATAAAGTTTTGGAAACAATGTATTGGAAAAAGCCCAGAACTAGATATTCCACCGTGTAAATACTAATCAATTATTGCCATCCAAATATGTTATACCACAAATACTCTAGGACCATATGTAACCTGAACAAGATCCAATATAAAAATGCCTAAGTGAATATATTATTTAAAACGGTTAGGTTACTTTACCCCTCAGATGAAACAAAAGCGTTTACATGAATGCTCGTCGCAGTTGAAATGTTTACAGCCAGCGTTCAGCAAATAAAAAAAAAGAGGTCATATTGACCTAGATACTACCTCATCGTGGCTAGCAGATCTTTTTTTTCTCCTCTAACAATTGCTGACAGATAATTAGTTCATCACTTAAACGTAGTAAAATTCAGAAACGTGGGAGATATCTAACCTTGGCCTGTTTGCTCATCCTACTTTGTCCTATGTCCGGCTAGCCTGCCGGCCGATGGTAAACATACTAACCAGTATTGGACAAAGAGGCTGTCCATTAGGTTCACAAGTGACTGCTGCTGCCAAAATATGGTGGAACGTGATTGGCCTGAGGTTAGCAGATAGCAAGCGGGTATATTTAGTGCCCTATGCCATGATAAGGGTCTTCTTGGCCTTCGTTTGTTCTAAGAGGCTTTTGGCGCGTGTATACAGGCTGGGTAGGAAGGGGCTCGCGCGGGTGAACCACCTCTACTGCTACCCCTGTAGAGCACGGCTTAATCTCGAAGTGAACATAAAGGTTGCATCAATGGACAGGTATCACTACTGGAGGTATTAGCGATACATGTGGTACGAAAATAGCCCTTCCGTTGGCTAATCTGCAGTTTACGTCACGCTCTGCTTACATCCATCTTTGCCCTTGACCCACTGCCTCGTATAGTGTCTGTATGAACAGTACTAACGTATCCTGGGCGAGTTTGGGAGAACTCAACCCAATCGGCGCATAGGATTCTTAGTGTGAGGATAATTTATAGAAACAGTGGTTGCATAGGGTAGATACTGAATTGCATAAACATTTCTTTGAAGTTTAACCAATTTCGTTCAACATCCAATCTCCGTGAACCAACGTCCGTGGGGAACGCAACAAATGCCGTTCGAAGAAATATAAATTAATTTGAAATGAAGTTTCTTTGGATATAACGGACACGTCACACCTTTGTAAGTACTAAACGTTGATTTTTATGTCATTAATTTTGGCGGCGTCAGCTAACTAGACTGGCATAACAGGTATCATGCGTTGCCTGAGTAGGAGGGTTTCAGTAACACTGATTACGTGTAAGCGTTATGGACTGTGCGTAAATTGATTGGTAGCTTATGGCACTCTTACCGGTTGAGCTAAAAATATAAAAAAAATCTAATAAATGAATAGAAAAGATAGGTGTTCTATATCATCTTAAGAAAAAAGACGAAAGTAAAGTCGACTGTAATAGCCCAAAATGTCTGCTTACTCAGGACATCGTTCCATATTATTGTTTATATATTACTATTTAGCATAGTTTCCGGTTACCATTTCGCCGACATTGATTCTCAACGTATCAAGTTAAAAGCCCCGAACAAACAGATTCTTGCTATCTGGCTGGTGACCATAACTAGCCATTGCGTTTGCAATCAGTCACTGCGTCCGCCAGCTCGCCTATAAATTCTGGCCATCTATGTAATTCAAGGTACGCGCTTCTCAACGTATACTGTTGTGCCTAGTTTGAGTCTGGGTATAACTACTTGCCTTAGACTTATCGGCCATATCGCCATAAAACATGGCTTCGAACACTGGGCTGGTCATAGCCAGTAGCACACGGTGACCCACATATTTCTTCGACGCCGACGGCGGTCCCACGATGAAGGTCACATCTGAAATTGTCAACGTCCCCAATTTGATGATATCCTCATTAGTGGCCGCGTATTTAATTATATATCTAGTAAGATTTTATCTCGCACTTAGCATTCCCAGTGGTTTTGTTCATATCCAAGTGAAGTAACCATCATAAACGGGGTTTTCGCTTTGCAGTCTGATCCGACTATCGCCAACAGAAAAGGCTGCTATAACCGACTACTAGACTAATAAAACGTAGCTTAGTGAGGGAACTCTAGCCTGGCTTTCCTCGACGATAGCATAAAATTACACGGCGTAGGTGGAAATTATTTGAAAGTCAGTACGATTTCCCTAAAATATCCTTCAGAGAATATCCAGTAGGACAGTTACAATTTAAAGGTGACCTTCCCAAGGTAAGTGCTCAATTTGTGGATAACGCCAATAATCTTTATATGTAGATTTTAATTCGTTAATTGGTTCCAGTGATCGAACAACGTCTAGCAGATATTAGATTTTATCCTTTACTCAGGCAACCGTCAATTGGAGATGGGTTGCCTCCAGCTACCTGACCTCAATGAACTACAACACTTAGGCTTGCACCTTCACAGGCTAACTGTCATATATTCGCTTGAACTTGGAAGCAACTTAAGGATTCGATCGGCGCGACCCAGAAAAAGCATTGGATCACATATCGATTGACGCAGCTTGCTAGGCTATAAAGCTGGAATGACGACCATATACGAACCACAGGTTCCCCATAATAATGATAATGGTCATATTTATTTTACGATGGCTATCAAAAATGTAAATGCGGTTATAATCGTCGATTACCGCCGCTTCGTTCTCAGAACCCCACAGCTGCTTCGATTCATGGCCTCGAGAATGCTGTTTTTGCGCTTTAATTTATACGAATTTACATTATTTTCAATGTGATCTATGGCCTTGACACAAGCGCCACTGCCGCCAAAAGAGACGCGCCCCTTTGGGGCTAAGCTTATAACAAAGCCGGAAATCCTTGGCACATTCGAGTGCCGTTTGTTTTCTAGTTTGACCCTGCGGATGGTTGGCGTCGGTAGACATTTGTAAAACGACACGGTGGTCAGGTTACCAACGGCTCTCTTAGAACATCTATATATGTAGGCGTAATGACTTTCTTTAGTAATTTGAATGTGACGGTGTCCTCGGCGCGGTGGCTTAAATGCTTAAGTCTCCGGATGAAAAGGCGGGAGATGTTTGCTTCAAATCGTCCAATGTAACGTATAATTCTGCTGCTATTCGTATAGATTATAAGGATATCAGTGTCCTGAGATCATGGACGGAATAAACAGCTTTCCTGCCGCCACTTGTTGAAGAGCTCTGTGAATCAGTAAAAATTCATACAGTTACCTGAATAGAGGGTTTAGATTCGACTGCGTTTGCCTGGATAACCTAAATGGACGACGACAACACTATACGTCTAATATAACTTCCTCTTTAAATTTCTCGCGACCTTTTCTAGCAAGGTATAGTTCTGCATTCAGTGAGTCTGTATTAAACAGACAATCTAGGAAATTAAGCGGGACAAAACACACTCGGTACTCTCCAAACACATATGAATCACAAGGATACACCTCACAGTAGACTTTAAATTGCGACAATTCTTATGGGCGTATGCGTAAATGCATTGCGTTTTACAACATCAATAACGTAGCCTATACCCACAACGGACCCCCCGATGCTGACTATGATGGCGTTTATGGTGCAAGTGGGCAAGGACAATGTGCTCTTAATCGATGAAGAAAGTTACGTGTCATAGCTCTGCCCAGTCTTACTTTTAGATCGTATTTGGTGATGATATCTTAGTGGCGGTTAAGCAGCGTAGACGACCATAAGTCGACTCTTAACATGAACGTTAACACGCCATACATAATAGGCCATTCCTACTTACTGTACGTCTTACGCCTTACTTACGCCTAATCAGTAACACCTACCTGTGAAGGCTTTGTTCTGAAGCAGAGAACTTGTCCTCTGCAGAATTTTATCGGACTCCATGCTGCCTTCGTGTAGCTTATCCGGGATGACTGGATTTGCTGAAGATTCGCGAACGGCTGCAAGATATTTCTTCTCCGGCACGTCTTCGCCCTGCAATGATTAGACAGACGGAAAAACATTTTTTTCAGACTTTCTAACAGAAGTTGATAATAAGTTCTTACGATTTATCACGTTGGATTATCAGTGGAAGATTAGTTGTTCGACCCATTTATGCCGCTGCCTATACCGGACACAATAATTCATAAACATGATTTGCGTTTAAACTTACGGAACACTTGAGCGATACTAGATTTCTCATCTTGTTCTACCGTTTCCGACATTCTTAACTTCAACTTTCCGTTTGTTGTAACGAAATCAAGTTCCAAACCTTTCGCTCGATGGGCCTCATACGCTAAGGTCCATTAAACGAAAAAGTTAATTCGGTCTGCGGACGTTAACAGTAGTCAACGGTGAAGCGTTAGCTCGAGTAGCTCGAATAGGTATATTTTTTTCAAATTCATTCATTTAACCTTATACAGCAGGTCAAGGCGTGTTCGCCGTGAAGCCTTCACTAAACCTTCAACAAGAATCTGGAGCAATATATTAATGAATAGTATACGTCGAAACTTCGGTTTATCGTTTACCTATACTGCCAATATTGTTGTTTGACACAGGAACATTAGACCGATTTGAGCGTTCAGTCTTACACTGCGATAATATAGCAGTACTTCAGATTCAATTAATTCTAATAGTAATATATTGACTATACCATAATAAATATATTCGCACGCTCCATAACGTACGGTATGTCTTGGCTTCGAACAAATGTATATACTTTGAACCGAACTGGAGAATCTATATACATAATGAGGATACAATTGATCTCACGTTGGATATACCAGCTGTAGAAATATAGATAGAGCAGGCTAGTAAAGGCTCCAAATTACTGTTCCGCCGCAATTTTTTTTTCTCTCGCACGTAATTCGGATATAACCAGTGAAAGGCCTTCATTGGCCTGTAGACGTTTTGTCATTCATAATTATCGCTTTCGTATAGTTTGAGGGAGCAATATATATATATATATATATATATATATATATATATATACATGTGTCCCTAAACGCGGACCATTACAAAGAACATAATGTTCGATTAATGTTCATCCCGCAAATAAGACCTGGGGTAACTATAGTTTAACTCGTCCTTGGTTTGATCGTTCGGAACCCGAAGTTATCGTTAGATTTTGTAACCGTTTCAAAGTTCGACATAGAAAATCTGACATGTTATTAAATCATTAGGGTTTCTATACGCTTTCTGCAATGGTAGATAATAACAAGAGTTGGAGAATTGTATAGGGACGCTGAGTTACATTGTGTCATATAGATGCGGTTTGGCCACAGCCGAAGCTATTTTTAGTGCAATAAAAATGCCCCAGTTAGGGTATGTTTTGTGTAGTTAACGGAAAATGTAGGAGATCTATTTCTATCAATCATTTGCAGGAGTTACTACAGTTAGGAGGCTAAATTTGGATAGTGATTAACGGCTGTTACGTATTTTTTTTTGTGTTGTTTGTTTGTCCAACTTTTGGCAGAGTGTGAAAATGGAAAATAAATTTTCAGCTCTGGGGACACTTTTCTGAAGCCTGGGTTTCGTAGCCTCACTGCCTCCATATATGCTTCATTGATATTGCCGTTCTATTACTGTTGAATTACTGTTTCAGAATATAATTAGACACGAGTTACCATTTCCATTAGATTAGGTGCATTTTAATCACTCCTAATTTGTAGTTTGTGTCTCATTTCCGGTCTACTTACCTCGATTGTTAAGAGGCTAGGGTTAGGCGGCGCGGGAAGAGGGTGTCCTGACGGCGCGGGCATCACAGCGGACACGGCTTTTGACTGACGACAGTTTGAAGCAATTTGCGTACGACTTCACTACGATTGCAGGGACGTCTACCGTAGGCGAGACACCGCAACAGAAATGGAGTTGATAACGATATACGGAAGGAGCATCGCTGTCGCGAAGAGTCATCCGGTAAGTATGCTACCTGGCCTAGGTCAGCGACGATTCAGTTTTTCTTGAACGCATGCCCCATATATATATATATATATGGTTCGTTTCTACAATGTCTAAAAACGATAAATCTAATTTATAGGAGCGCTTTGACACTTGCCTGATTGATTCTATTTACGATATCTAAGATAGTTGCGCAGCAGAGTGTATATTAGCGTTGCAGAAAACGCCTTGCAGTGGCTTTTCCCGATTACGTCTGCGTATTTTATATAGATGATTTAATATAGACACGGTCGTACGGTGTATGGCATAATCCTGATATCTCATAAAGCACAAGAAGTTTTTGTTTTTCATAGTCTCATTTATAGAGTCGCAATTATAAGTAAATGCCAATTTTAGAGAAAACAAAACCCTTTTGACTTGGCAGGTCATTTACGTTTAGGGTCTAAGACGAGCGGTTTTTTGAGACTTTCGATGACCCAGTCGATATGAGAGTTTCTACGTTTTCTCTTGCCGATTACGTACCTTTCCGCACTGTTAACAAACACAAAAACAACTTAAGATTAATGAATTGAATGGTAGTACGAAAGAACATTCGGCAGATTCATTTAAAAGGCAATATCTTAATCACTAGAAGGGAGCAGGCGGAAACGAACGCCTGTAAGCAGGCCTCCGTTAACACTCTAACTAATTTAGGCTGAACGACGCTTTTTATAAGTTCTCAGTAATAAATTATCGTTAAATATGACATACGCATTACGGGCTGCACCTTGAATTAAAGCACTGTAACATACAATGATGCGATCAGCTGAAATACCCATTGTGATCATTCGCATAACATTTGACAAACAAAATCCTTGTGTAATAAGCTTCGGAAGTAGATAATTATCGATAAAAATTGAATAATTAATGCAGCTCCCTTAATATCGTGGGTCAGATAATTGCACGCTGGTTATTTTATGACGACGCCGTACTTAATGCCTCAATTACCTCCTAGATTGAACAAAGGAGTAATCAACGTTGTCTTTAGACCGTTTATTCTTGCGATGTAAGTAAGTTCAGGTTATCACAGGACTTGCTATGCCCCAAAAAGAGTAACCGGATTTACTTTAAAAGTCATCGATAGATTAATTACATATAAAAATGCGAATGGTAGGCATATCATTGCCCGGATCGCTGGGACAAGTATATAAAGAAAAAAAAAAGGAGTACTTTTAAGACGTAGTAAAAAAAAAAAAAACATTATTTTAGTTCAACGGTTACGCAACTTGAGAGTGCGTCGGATTGGCTTGTAATAGGGTAATATTTATAGAAATACAACTCCAATCCGCCGGTGACACGATCAGTTCAGAGGATTAGTCAGTTCTGTAGAAACTGCTTGGTCCATGGAATAGTGTTGATTATCACTAGTTCCTATTGTAAGACCTGTAGGTTTGTATCGGTCAATGTGACTGGCCGTGACTCGATCCTAAATAACTTCCAAGGGACCTCTGCCTGTAAAGTCTCTTGTCATTCAATAACCTCCAAAATCAAACTCCTAAAATGGTCCTTCGGAATACAAATTATAGAGATATATTTGCCAACTGGTGGTAGCCGATCCGCTAAGGGGCGCCGGTAACGACCGCTCATGAGTATGCGAAGCCCTGAATTAGAGTCTAGGCGTACCCATTTAGTTCCGTGGCCGTACCGTCACAACGACGCAAGTCCTTAATAGTTACTTATTGCCATTCTCCATTGGGAATGACTGTTGGCAGTCGATACGTCTATCCCGACACGCTTTTTTTCTAGCTGGGATGAAAAAGTCAGCTGATTTTTTTCTTTACCAACTTGGCGTCGACTATCGATAAGGGCATCATAATAAAGCTGGACTAAAAAACGAGTGCTTATTACCTATAAGCGTACATATACATTTAACCCTCTTTCACAGTAATTTTTTTCAGATATTGTGTGATAGGTAGAGAAGGCAAGAGTGACGCAAATTTATTATATATATATATATATATGACAAACATCGGACGTGTTCGCACTGTATTAAATGACGTGATAGTAATGAGACCGTTTCATGAATTTAACCTGTTTTGATTCTTCCTTACGACTAACAGATAGCTATTTAGGTTTACGTAAGTACATAAACATAAGTAATTTTAATCATATCATCATTAATAAAGGTGTTTGCTGACCTACTTAATTGAAGAAAGTCTCAAAGGTCATGGGATGTAATGCTTCTCTCTGTATAAACTGTTCCTCGTCAAAGGTTGCTTTTCTATTTTCGAACGAAAACGAAAATTGATCGAACGCTACCGATAGGTTTTTCCTCCTAGAGAAACTGATCCGCCTACCTATCTAGGGTCACCTGAAGTAAAGAAGCATAAACGATGACTAAAATAAAATATGTCGAACATTGGTCAAGAACTTGTACAGTTATGGTAGATAGGGTAATTGTAGCTCAAATCGAAGTTGCCTCTAACTGTTCGCCATTTATATCTATCTATAGTGAACAACAGAGAGTAGTAAACTCAAGGGGTGTATTTATCTAGGTTCGCACAAATCTAATCACCCTATACGTGCATCAGTACGTTGATTACAACGATTTATTAATTTTTCCGTGTGGCATATTGGCTGTTCCGAATATAATCGGAACCATATATAATCGTCCACACGGGACACATATAGACAGTTGTCGTTATATATTATCGGCTCAGTGTACCTCTGGTTAGTTTATGCCATTGTAAATAGAGCCGCTCGTACGGGCTCTCTAAAAGCCTTCTGCCGAATTTTCGCATCCGAGTTATGCAGTGGGCCGCAAGGTATTAAACGTGCGCTATGCGTCGAAGGGTAAAGCTTTTCCTCAACTACATGTATGTATAAGTGGCTCGCTGAAGGAAAAAAAAAGATGTGGCTGAGTGTATTTTTCAAACAATGATAACTATTAGGTGACCAAATCAATTATCAGAATGTTTAGTTAATTTTCCATTTCAACCCTCTAACACGGCGGTAAGACCTTAGTAACATAATAATAATTTATTAGGCAACTCGCAGAGTATAATTTCTTGGCTCATTAAATCCAAATAAGACTCTTAGGCCCGTGCCTGTTGTGCTAATTAAGGCAAGCAGCAGTCTGTGGCCTGGTAAATAAGTCCTGTAACAAACTAGCTAGAAGCTAGTGATTCGCATATGGAAAAGAAACTATGTCTTGCGAGGAAATCTTATTTAAACGGTAAAAAAAAATGTTCTCTTTACTTTTGAACTAGTTTAATAGGTGGAGTTCCATAATATTTTGTGTGAAACGTTTCATGAACACCCACCGAACACATGGACGGATCTTCTTTACGTGGATATTAACTTAAAAGTCTATCAAGCTAGTTACTAGACATCATGGAATCAACTTATGACAGTTACGTTTGGAACTGCAGGGGGAAGACGCCTTTCTCATCAGCGGTAGGAAGAAGTAGAGGAAACCCTTTTCTTAAGCAACTTAATAAGCCAAATGTCATAAGTGTTATTGATGCTAATCGCCTAACTTCTAATAAATCAATTTTCCTGCCTTCCATAAGTCACCTATAACGTGCAAAAGTTTGAAATTATTTATCGTGTCATCCTTAACTGACAGGCAAAATTACGAATGGGTTTGAAGAGAAACTTCGTTCAATTAGACTTCCAACAATTTTTGCTATTCAGCCTAAGACATCCTGATATGTCGACGCCGTTTAACAATCTTTGCAGGGCATTTTTTACGATCGTAACATACATGAAAATATGGGTTCAATATACCGAGAATTAAGCCAATACATGTTCTTATCTAGGCACATTTGAAGAGATAACAGGGTACAGAGATGCTTGAAGTGCTCCATTTGGCGGGTCTATTTTACCACCATCTTGTATGAACAGTAATTATTTCAGAGTATGCTTAACGATACTAGAGTAAGAAAGGGGCTGGATTTTAGAGCAATTTTTCTTAAAGTACGAGTACAGAAAAGTCAAAGTTCAGACTAATGGTTCGCTTGCACATGACCCACAATAATCACCACGGTATTTAGGAATACATAAAAAAATGTGTAACAAAACGAGCTTTTTTGTCCCTTAAAGGCAGTAGTACGTGTAAAAAAATCCCAGTTGTTATGTAATAAAATAATATTAACACCAGTTTCATCTATGTGTTCCTTCGATCCTAAATCAGACATATTTCCTTCTTCCAACTCCTTTCGAGGACAAATCGCCCTTGGGCGGTGCTGTGTGGTCTTGATCTGCTTAATGCAATTTTTGTGAAAATTAGATCTTGACAACAGTTTGGGTTGTAACGACCGATTTTAAAGACATTTCTCAGTCATGCTTGATTCATTAAATTGATGGAAATGTCCGCAGCGCAAGGCCAAGCAATGGCTGCCAGCAGCCAAAGCCCCTTACCATCATTCGTAAGGCAAAGTCAGAAAAAGCATCCTGTATAGGACGTCATGCATGAAGTATTTCGATATGTGACGATTATGGGGGTGCGGCACTGTTGAATAATGTGCCCGCAGTATTAGAAAAACATATGACGATCAGACCATCGACTAGCAGACCTCTCCCCATCTTAGGGGTAACGAGGTGCTTTAGGCTCGTAAGCCCGCTTCTGGCTAGTCGGCTAACTCGGCCCAAGTAATCAACATTATCTATATCGCTAAGACTTAGCCTATATGAAGGTCACTGGCCTTTGTCGGTTTGACGGAATTATTGTCTTGTGTATATTTTCATAGGTATAACGCTTACATATTATAGTGTGATAAGTATTGTGATACTTTTTGATGCAATCATAGATGTGAGTAGTGATCCGGAAGTCAGTATTCTAGCAGGTGGCACTCTTTGGTAGTGTTTCTCACCTGCGGCCATAACAGCGCCAAATTTGCTCAGCATATCCCAATTCAGTCTGGCTTTGATGGGCCTGCTATTCTTGTTAGGAATTTAAATCTAAATAGATCTTTGCTGCATATCGATAATATCACCCTGCTTTAGGCAGCTGCCAAATACTGGTGAATAAGTTTTTACTGTTTCTTTAAGTTGTCACCGACGTTTTCGAAGTTCTGTTTACAAACTAATGAAACTCCTTAAAAGGATCAGTAGATATGCAAAATGGTAACCTCACTACTAGGTGACTATTATGTTCAATACAAACTGTCTTTCGATAAGTTTCGATCAAGGTATCGTTATTTTATCAAGGTGACAAAGGTAATAGAGTTGATTTGCTTGAAATACCCTACACACGCACATGCCAAACATTCTAACCTGGGCAATACTGGGCAATGAGCAAAAACTGAAAGAGGAAATTGCTGGAAAATGACTGGCCTAAACAGGGTGCGTTCCTACATGAAGGGATACATGAAAGGAGACACCACTAACCTGATACACGTTGGTTTCGGTTGCTGCAGAAACATCCGTCCGAGGTATACACACGCACGTACGTAAGCCACGTCAACAGTAGACGCAAAAGTACAACTTTTAACTCGCGTTTAACTCTGTCGTTACAATTGGCCGCAATCTGAGGGTATTTTATGGAGAGCAAAAATGAGTGTTGCTTATAGTGATAAAAAAAATTGTAACGAGATAGAGATATTTCATGCTATGATGCCAATATATATATCTATGCTTTATATATGTGCCAGATTCTATTGACAGATTGAGGTTCTTCATTAGAAAAGATATATCTTCCTAGTAACCTCTTCAAACTTTTTTTGCTTTGACTTTATA